GTTTGGATATCCTGACCTCTCCCGGACCTATCTAAAACATGCTGCATAGTCTGCAGCAACTTTTCCTGCTCCTTTGTCATGGATCCCCCCATCATCCTCGACAGCTAGGCTCCCACGTCCCAGTGCCAGAGCTTCCAATGCTCGCACTCCCCCATGGTTCAGAGCTTCATTACCGTTTATCAGTTGCAGCCGCGTAGATGTTGTCCTTCGTCCGTCCTGTCAAGTTTTCTCCACCTCACGATCTTCCCCGTTCGCCTATCTCGGTCTCTATTCAGGCGCCATTTGTGGGAGTCATCGAAAGGAGCAGGGGCTTAAGGTTTAGGACCAGAAGCCGTTTTATTGAGCATCAGACCAAACTTATATATTCTCCGAGTATGTGAGCATACACTGTCCACACGCTCCCTCCCCCTGCCTCCAGCCAATTCCTTGACTCTATTGCTATCTGGGTCCAATCCTGCTAACGGACAACAGGTAAACAACCAGAGACTGGTGCGTCCAGCCTGTGTTTTACGTTTCTCTATCTGCTAATCTGTTATTCCTAACTTTCACAGTTTCTCACTCCTAACTTTCATCGTTCCCACAGCTTCCCACAGTTTCTCATGGTTTCTCAGTTTCCCACAGTAGGATGTATGCAGTCTTTGTTTAATCCCCAGGTTACTCATTAAGACGTGAGTTAATACACTTATGAAAGTGTATCCTTTATCTGATCCTATCTCCACTGGTGTTCCATACCTAAAGGTAATTTCCTTAAATGATATTTTTCCAGTTACAGTGGCTGTATTCTTTTTAGTGCGAAAAGCTTTAAACCATCCTGAAAAGATATCTATGATGACAACGAGATACTGACATCCTTCTTTAGTTCATGAAATCCATTTGCAGTATTTGCCAGGATTCGTGGCTTTTCTGATATAATAGAGGTGGCAGCTTAGTTTTATTAGTTTGCTTTTGTATCATTGTGTATCATTGTGTATCGTATGCAGTTTTTAATTATGTGCTCACTTTCTTGCTTCATTTTTGGCCAAATATAAATTCTTTGCACTGTTTTGAGAGTGCTCTGTATTGCTTCATGTAGCATATTATGATAGTCTAAGATTATTTGTTCTCTTTCAGATGGCCCTTCTTATCTTTTACCTGTTTCCTGGTCTGAACTGCAGCACTTATTCTGAGTCAACTTGATTATTAAACTGTTTCTCAGTATTGTTTTCAGTCTTCTCCTGTGCTTTAACATGCTTAACATATGTTTTATTCCCACTGTCTGAGCTTGTAAAGTGAACCTCTGGTTTTCTTCAATCACTATTGGTCTTCCGTTGTCTGCTTTCCAATAGTGATTGAAAAAAATCTCTTTGGCCTGCTCTTTTCTGGTAACTATTTTTCCATCCACACATAAATGCCTATAGAAACTGTTCACACAAACTCAAACAGAAGAGGCTTTTATGACAATTCTTTACACAACATATAGCAGTTGAACTGTAGAACTCTGTGCTGCAGGATGTTGTGATGTTAGAAGTTTTCACAGCGATGGGTAACTTCACAGAAGAAGAACTGAGTGAAGAATATTAATACAAGGCCACATATCTGGCTTAGGAAATCCCTGAATTGTATGAGATGGGTAAGCATTCTGGAGACTACCACTTGCCCTGTTCTTAAGTTCTTCTCCAAACATCTGCAATCGGCCCTTGGTGGGAATAGCTACCTATTCTAGTGTGAAATGTTGCAGTTTGAAAGCCGTAGTGGTAGTGGCGGGGCGGGGGGGAAGGAGATATCAAATCAGTATCGGATTCAAGAGCAGTCCGTGGACCGTAGGTCTGATCGCCTTCCTAGGAGCGAATCGAGTTCCCAAATAGTGTGATCAACTATAACTTTTGGGATGGAGGTGTGTTTTTGACATTATAATGAGCAAAGTTCAAGTAAAGTTCATCCAAAAGGAGTGATTTGCCACCTTTGCTGGCTCAGCACCGGACATGTTATCGTATATCTCCCATTGGACAGCCACTGTGCAGCTTATCAGCAGCCCAGCACAGGGAGTACAACAGAGTTTGGCCACGGTGTCTTCACTCTGCTCCATCCTCCGTTACTCCTCTTTGCAGCTGTGAAGAGGGCAGATTGTGTTGCCTAGGGAACCGTGGAGGAGCTGAGTCCGTGCGTACCAACCATCCTGGAAGTGGCAACTGTGTATCACCCCAAGCAAGCTTTTGTAATGCCATAACTTCTATTAGGCCCTAGTTTTCCTCTCAGTTCCTGCTTTCACACAATTCTTCCACATCTAGATGTCCAGACCTAGCATAGCTACTCTTAGCTTGATCAGTTACTGAAACAAAAGTAGAAGGATTCATCATTTCTTGTTTTGGACTCCATAGGTGGGCCATCTTGGTGAAATTTTGGAAAGTCAAAATATAGCTACTCTGACAGACCCTTCAAGCTTTAGCTTATAAAAAAGATAAATTTTGTTTGCCAAGTAGATTAATTCATTTTGGTTTTGCTTGTTAACCCATCTGATGATTTTGTCTTGCAGAAAGCACCTCTACTTCTACATTACAGACCCAAAATGGACTTGCTGTAAGAAAATTTTATTGTCCTGGACACAGTTTTTTGCAGAGACGATCATCTGGCACCTTAGTGCAGCACTGTGATGCAAAGCAGCAGAATCACTTTGGAAGACTGTAGTGTTTTCATAGCAGAGTATCCTTCTGAATATTTCTTCTAGAACATGCTGCCCAGATTTTTGGACAAAAACATTTATACTTTTTTTTTGTACAAATTGAATAAATTACAACTCAACAAGATTCTATGAGTGCTAAGTTTACAGTGAAAACACTTCACAGTTCCATGGAGCTCAGCCTGATTCCTCTCTTTGTAGTTACACAACACAAAAATAAATTTAAAAATGTGGAAGTGATTGAAAATGTTACTTTTAACATCAAATTACTACATTTAGGTTGTCTTGAAACTTTAAAACTTATTTTTTTCAAAGATGTTCTTGTTTTATGTTTCTTGTTTGTGTAGTATACACAGTTATGCCAACTTCAATCAAGTCATCCTACAGAGCATTGAACATAGCTAATGATATAGTGATTGGTGATATTTATTATGCTGCATTAAAAACTTCCTAAAAACCTAGAGATCCAATAACTTCATTCATTTTGCACAATATTTGGTCTCCTTTATTTTGTATTTCAGTAATGTTTTGATACTCTCCTTTTTATGCTGATTTAACAGAAATTATTTTGCTTGATTTTTAATATGCCTTAATATTTTGCCTGGCATAAATTATATCAGATCATAACAAATACTCAGAAGTGATGAATTTGTGAAATTGTTTTAAAGTAATGGGTCATATAATTGGGGCTTTCAAAAATCTAATTTTACTTTATGGAGAATTTGCTATTTCATTAGATGTTGAAACAGTGACTGATGGGCTTTTTTTTTTTAATACAGCACAAGTTTCCATTTCACTAGCTAAAAATTCTTCAGTTATTTGCAAACCAATTCTGGGTTTCTTTTACTGGTTTCTTCATGAAACCACAGCTTTCTTTAGCACAATTACTAGTTATCTTGGAGGTCAGATTACATTAAATTACAGGGACACCTTCTGGTATTAACTGATAATTTTGCTCGTGTCAAGCCCTGAGAGATGCAAACTACCATATGTGTATGTGTGTTTGTGTACACATGTGCACACACCTTAGAGAATACACCTTCAGTAGTGCTTAGCAGGGTGTTGACTGTTTTGCTTGAAAGGCTTTTTAAAATAGTCAGCTTTATAAAAATGTGGTAGTAGTTGAAAGTGATTGCTGCACGCTGTAAAGTATTATATATAGCATGTACATGAGTGTGTCTGACAGGGGATCTCAAGTCACTGAAAAGAATATATGCAGTATTATTCGGAGTTGGAGGCTATTAATTTTCTAAATCTTAGAAGAGTTTTTCTGTCACCTGAAAATGGCAGTTGCTACATTGTTTTCTTCAATAAAATGTTAATGAATGGCTAAGAAAATCAGTATGCCTGTTAGCACTGTCCTGCTTTCTCCAGCTGTGTTCCCCTCCTCGGCAAGAAAGCCTTCAAGTATTGCATCTCCTGTTGCCTCTTCTTGAGTTCTTCAAGCACCACATTCCTCTGCATGTCTCCCATGCTTTTCTAAATTGGAGTTTTCAGTACCCCATTCCTAGTTCTTCTGCCAGAGGGAAGTTTTAAGTTCACTTTGTCTTTGGGAACAGGCTTCCTTGTTTTAAGATATAGCCATAGATATGAATGGTGAGAAAAAAAATACAAAGAAAGAAAAAGAGCCTACTGAACTATGGGGATGGTTGAGAGAACCACAACAAGGTCAGTGAAGTACTGCCATCTCGGTGAATGAGGACATGAGACTACTACATTTGAACACCTAGGTTAGACAGGACTTTTTCACATCAAGGCTTAGTGTGTATTTGAGAGAGAGAATTTGTAGTTTGCTCTGATTTTGCTGTACTCTTTCTGTACACTCTTATCTACAATTTAGCTTTTATCTATTTTTAGCATTAATGGAAGTGGCAGAAGACAGGTGCGATCTTTTGAGTCTATACTTTTGGGGATAAGTTTTCACAGAACAGTGAATGCAGGTGATATGGATGTGTACACAAATTGTCATAATAGCCCTTTGTGACGCTGTTATTGTGGCTATCATTGCACATTTCTGAGTGTGAAAAAGGGGCTGATTCTAGTTGGTGAGTCTCCCAGAGAGTCCATCCTCCATGCACCCCAAATGTACAGATACTGAGTTATACCTGACATAGACATGGAAATCAAGCCCATGGACTATGTAAATGTCTAATTAATTGTTCAGCTGCAGTCTAAGGGTTTAAGAAATATATATAATATATATGTATTTGTGATTAGTCTACCTCAGAATATGTACACTGTGGAAACTTACTGTAACATCAGATGTTGATGCGGTGCTATTGAAATATATTGAGATTTTAATATTTCCCTGTGTAGTTGTACAACTGAAAAGAGGTTAGCAGTTATAAGCATGTAAATTCAGAAAGCTTTCTGCCAATCGGTTCGAAGTCTTGCTGTTACAATCTACAGTACAGAATATATATTCGCAAGTTTGTATCTACCTTTGGAATAAATTGGATTTGTTATGGTGCCATATCAATATATTTAAATCTGTTGATATCTGTATAGGTACACATCTGTAGCCAGTGTTGACACCTATAGCTGATTATTGCTCATAACTGTGTGCAACTGCTTTTGTAATGTGTTTAAACTTGATAAAACCTCACCAGTATTAAAAAACAAATGAACAAACAAACAGAACTCCAAACCTCTATTTTTCTAAATCATGTCACAATATCTTCATTACAAAACCTATTTCCCATGGGGAGGGTTGGAATGATATCTATCATCTGCACCATTTGTTTATTTTCTAGCTTTATAGAAAGACTAGACTACAACTCAAATCAAATCAGAGGTTTCACTTCTTTGAAGCTTAAGAAACAGTTGGTTTAATGTCCAGATTATATTAGGTAAAACAATACTGATTGTTTTACTTTTGTATATTTAAATTTGAAATTTAGATAGCATTACTGTGAAGTAATTAAAACTTAAAACTTTAACTAACTTGTAAAATAATTGCAATAAAAGATATCTTGTTGCATTATCCTCAGCAGCAATGAGAGTGAATTACCCCAGGCTCAGAGTCTCACTAGATGTAGTTTTCATTAAAAATAGATAATTCAGATAAAATATATAATATTGAATTTAAATAAGATTTGGGAGATTTAAAAATTAAAATTTCTATAAATTATTTATTATATTAAGCATTCTGTCTTATTTTATCATCCAAATATTTTTGGTTTCAGTGGTCCAGATTTATTTACAGGCATATAAAATTATAAAATGTTTTTAAAGCTTCTTCTTTTAATATTGAGTTTGAATGACTTTTATTTGTATGTCGTTGTTATGTGTGGATAAAGAGCATTACTTAAGTTTTTGTGCAATGGATCCAAAACATAAAGCATATGTTTTAATTGTAAATGTAGCATCTACTTCTAAATTGAAAAGGAATGTAGATTTTTTTCATATGTGCATTCAATAGGTTTTTGTTTGGAACTTTCATTTGTTTGGGGGAGGGGGTGCCTTTTTTAAAAGAATTAAATTTGGGATTTTATGGGAACTTAAAATGTGTAACTGCAAGAATTACCCACTGCCAATATTTTAAAATAAATGATCTGGCAAGAAACTTCAATGTGAATTGTGGAAGTAATCTGTAAGAAATGGCAGCCTACTTGGAATTTGTTTGTGCCATTGTTATGTCCATTATATTTGTGTATCATCTAACAGGGGAATGTTTGTGTTTTATTGGTTGTGCAATAGTATACACAACGCTATCATCTCTGGGAATATGGGACTGCAAAAATATCAGACTACAGCTATGATAGTGCTATTTTTTTTAATGGACTATGAGCCTTTGAAAGCTTATCTGGCTCTTGTTATAACAACATAATTATTTTTAGGAGATTCACTGGTTTGCTTTGGTTTGTTCCTACTGGATTTTAAATGTAACTATACAGCTAGCCTATTTTACAATATTATTAATCTTACCATTGAGTTAAATATAATAGGAAAGAGCCAACTAGTTTGTACATTAGTAAATGTGTTTTGTCAGCAGTACTTAAGAAATATGTTTAGTACATAAGAGTGAATTGTACAGAAAAATCTAGTTTCTGTATTTCCTCGGGTAATCAATTCAGTTTGGATGTTTCACCAGAGATTTTAATGCAACCTACACTTCAGTCCCTCTGCCTGAAGACAAGAAAAAAATGTCATACACGCTAAAATCTTTGCATAAGATGCACTTAACTATAATTGAGAGACACTGACTTTAGTCAATGCCTTTTAAAAGTGCAGAGAGAGCATTAAGGTGTGTAACATTAACATGGGAAAATGGTTCAATGTCTGCTTTCATCAAAATCTACAATCAGGTACAGACACTCTCTAGGTACCTGCCTTTTGTGGCAAGCCAACAGTCACATTTTTACAATGGAGTTGTGATATACCTATATACAAATTTAAACTCCACTCTTGCTGTTTGATCTACTTGAGTGGATCCTTAAGTTTTCTTAGAAATCTTTTGAAGCCATAACAACTTGTTGAGATCAGATTTTAGGACAGGGACTAAAATCACAGTTCTACAAATTCCTAGAGTGGTAACTTTATTGCTAACTTGGATGGGTCCACTGAGACCAGTGGAATTATTCATGTGGACAAAGTTGCTTAAATGTGTGTCTGTAAGATGGAGTTCTAATTTTTGAAGGATAGACTGATGTTTCTGTATCTTTTTTAACTTAAAACATTAGTTTAATAGTGTCCTTTTATCCAAATAATATAAATAGGCAAAAGGAGAACTTGTTCTTTCTTTCTGCAACAATATTAAAGTTAATGGGACAAGAAGTCAGTGCGATCACTAAGCCTTTATCCTATATGGCATAATAAAGATACTGAAACTATCACAAGTGTAGGACAATATTTTTTACTTGGTTTCTCTTTAGAGTTTACATTTTTATGCTTTGTTTCCTGTGTGATTTTTGTACTATTGGTAGCTAGTTTTTGTCCAAATAATCTTTTTGTTATTATTGCTTAATGTTTTGATTTTATGATAGTGAAGCTTGTATCCAGTGTTTCGCCAAATAATATTATATGCTTGTTAATAAAAGTAAAAAAGCTAACTGAAATCCTGCCTGGCTGATGGTAGTTGTTCCTTTTTTTCCCTCCTCAAGAGCATAAAGAACTTTCTAGTGTAATACTAAACAAACAAACAATATTGACTGATTGACTGGAACAAGGACATATATGGTTCCATAATCAATCTTTATGCCCATCTTAG